TGCCTGCTGCCCCCTCCCCCTGCCTGCTGCCTCCTCCTCGTGCCTGCTGTCCTCTCCCCCTGCCTGCTGCCCCCTCCCTCTGCCTGCTGCCCTTCCCCGTGCCTGCTGCCCCCTCCCCCTGCCTGCTGCCCTTCCCCATGCCTGCTGCCCCCTCCCCGTGCCTGCTGCCCTTCCCCGTGCCTGCTGTCCCCTCCCAGGCCTTGGCAGCCTAGCCCCCCCGGCCTGCAGGCCCCTTCCACCTCCTGGCAGCAGGGCAGGTGGTGCTGCCCAGTGGCCCCTGAGCACTGGGGGAGGGTCGGCACCCTGTGAGCCAGGCCCTTGGGAGGTAAGGCCCCTGGGAGCCCCAGGCAGCACCTTTTATTTCCACTGTTGAACCCCAACCCCGTCACGGCCTTTCCGCCTCAGCCGAGGGCCCCACAGAACAGAGCTGCCACCTGTCTTGCTTTCCTTTTGTCCTCTGTGCGTGTCCCCTGGTGGGCTGGCCTGGAAGGGGAGGCGAGAAGGGAGCTGCCGGGTCCTCATGTCTGGTTTTCATCCCCAGGAGCCACCTTCCTGGTAACTTTTGGAAACTCGGAGAAGCCAGACATGATGGTCTGTCGTCTTTCCAGCAACCAGAGGTAAAAGCGGGTGCTGCGCGGCACTGACGCTCTGTAGCTCCGAGCCTGAAGTGACGTGGTGTGGACACCCTTCATTTGCTGCAGGTACCTGCTTCTGGACGGGGACAGTCGCCACGAGGTCGAGGTCACGCGCATTGCTGCCGTGCAGATGCTCACGGAAGGCTTCCCTCCTGGAGGTGAGCGCCGTGTGGCACCGGCCTGGGTGACCCTCGAGGTCTGTGGGCCGTCGCGCTCAGCCGTGGTGGGGGCTTGTGTTCAGTGAGTGGCTGTAGGAGCTCGCCAGGAGAATGGGGCTGAACGTGTAAACAAGCGGGGACTACCCTTCTGTACGTTTCACTTCCTGTCGGACTCGGGTCAGGGGTAAGGCTCCGGCGGCAGCTGGCATCGGTCCGATTCCCTGATGCCTGGATCGTTGCCCGCCCAGCACCACGACCCCCAGGGTCTGCGGGGACGACCCTCCTCCTGGAGCTTGCGGAGCGCTTAGCCTATTCTGGATCTTTCCACCTAAACTTTCGCACTTCAGCAGCTGTCCTTCCACGGAAGTGGAGTTGGTGTTCCGCGTTGGGCGCAGTGCGCTGAAGAGACCCACGTGACTTAGTCCGTCTTGCTTTCTGTTTTCTGATTGGCTCTTGCTTGTTCTTCTCTCCTGCCGGCCTACCTTCTTGACGTAGAAAAAGACATGCACACTTATACCAGCCTCCCGGGGAGCCAGCCCGTCTCTGAAGGTCAGCTCCCCGCTCCCCGCCGCTCTCCCTGCCCCCGCGCCGGGCTGCGCCTCCTTCAGACCCTGCTGTGTGCTGGGGTCCACGCCGAGGCTCTCTGTGAAACACACATTCCCTTCTTTTGGTTGATTTGAAGGACAGTTGGGTCTAAGACGGGCAGACAAAGCATGAATGAAGCAATCTATCTCATTTGCTTAGTTCTGCGCTCCCAAGGGGAGCCCTACGCAGTGTTTCCTAACGTCCCCTGGGCATCCACTGGGGCCTGAGCGGGCCACGCGAGGGGGGCGCGGGCGGCGGCCCTCCCCAGCGCGCTCCCGTCCCTCCGCAGCGCGCTCGCTCCCGTGTTCTCTCGTAGGAGCCTCCCTGCGCTCCTGGGCCCGCAGGTGGCGAGGGGAGCGGGCCGGCTCAGCGTTTGCCCCCTGTCCCCGAGCACAGGCTGTGCGTGGCGGCACCTGTGCTGGGCCGTGAGTCGAAGGTGCGGAAGTCACGGTCCGGAGAAGCGGGGGGCCACCCCCCACCCAGGCCGGGGCCTCCCTCCGTGTCCTTCCCACGTGTGGGCGGGGCCGGGGGCTGGTGGCGCTATGCGGCCCCTTGTGGCGGTACTGGGAGGACAGTGAGCCCTGCTCTGCCCAGGCTTCCGGAACCGTTAAATGTCCAGAAAAATGTGTTCCCGAGTGGGCGGGGGCGGTGGCCACAGCAGCGTTGCGCACTTTCTGTCGAGGCCCAGGTACTTGCATGCAGCTCTGCCGGCCACAGACTCAAAATGCGACAGCGGTCGTAGGAGCCATGGAAACGTGGCCTGGGCCAGTAGAAGTCTACCTATGGGAGCGGGGGGTGGGCAGAGCACAGCCTGCCTGCCCCAGAGCCCGGGGGCGGGGGGCACTCCTGCAAGGAGCCCAGGCGGGGACAAGCCGCTTGACACCCAGGGTCGAACCGTGGCTTATGAAAGGTCATGAGGGGCGTCCCAGGCCTTGGGTGGCGGGGCACTTCCAGCCGGATCGACCTCCCGGTGGGCCGGGCCTCTCCCCCCCAGCACCTGCTCCCCCACCGGCCTGCGTTTGACTCTGAGACCTGCGTCTGATGGAAGGGATCTTCTGAGCTGGGTAACGGCTCACAATGGAGTTTTCCTCCCAAGTCACAAAGTAGAACAGCTGTAGGTAGGCAAACTCCACTGTGAGGCTTGGTCTCCTTGCCACTTTTCTGACTGCAGTCGTGACAGAAAGGCCGTCTGTTCCTCCAGCCGTTGGTTCTCAGAGCAGGTGCTGGGGTCCCGTCGTCGTCCATGGTGTCACAGCCCAAAGGCGGGCAGTGTCCCAGCAGGCCGACCCCACATGGCATCTTTTCAGGAGCTCATGTACTAGAGTGGGGTGTTGGTGGCACTTGTGCCCTCCGCTTTGACCCTGGCTCTCCAGAGTAGGGTGGGGGTGAGGCCAGCGTGACAGGCAGGGTGCAGCCTGGGCAGCCTTCCCAACGGCACCGTGCCTCTCCCTGGGTTCTTGGCCACGTGGTGCCGGGCCTGTGAGCTTGGGCTCAAACGCTGGGCAGCCCCTAGCCCAGGCCCCGCCACCAGGCTGCCTCCGTCTGAGACCAGCACCAGGGCTGGGGAGGAGGCACCCCGGCAGCACATCAGGGCCGGCGGCACCCTGGGCGCTCAGCATCCCCTCGGGCATCCTTACCTTGTCTCCCCACTCCAGGAGGCAACGCGCGGGCCACAGGCATGACCCTGCAGTACACGGCGCCAGGGGCAGAGGGCGTGACGCAGCTGAAGCTGACGGCTGGGGAGGACGCAAACGGCAGCAGAAGGCAGGCGACAGCATGGCTGGTGGCCATGCACAAGGTACCGTGGGCCTGGCCCTTCTGCTCAGAGCACTGCCCACCTTTCCCAGAGGGAGGCCCGCCGCCTGCCTACCCGGGGTGCCCCCACTGGATTCAGCCAGGCACACGCATTTATCTCTGGTCACCTTGCAGGCTGCCAAGCTTCTCTACGAATCTCGGGACCAGTAACGCCACGTGGGCTGGATAGTCCGCTAGGGGCAGCAGCACCTGCTCGCCGAGCACGCACAGGCGCAACTAACCCTACAAGTGCTGGAAACGCAACTCAAGTACTCGGAGCTTACCTAGTGCAATATGTACACAGTTGATTAATGCTCAGAACACCTCGTGCTTTAGAATTTGTCTCATCGATGCCTAATTGGGGGTGGGAGAGACTGAGCTACACTACTGCTAAAATCTTTTTAGCATAATCTATACCATGTTTTTATGAGTGCCCAAGTTTACTAGATAGTTCTGGCCCCTTGATGTTCGTTCCATTAATTCTTCCACAGAAGTGATCTGGGCAGTGGTGACCTGGCCTGATTTGTACTGGAGCGCATCTCACAGACTGCCCGTTCACGTGTCACTCATCTGGGGCTATGAACAAACCTTTGCTACTTCACAGGGAAAGGAACAAGATTTGTGTTTTGTACTTTTCACTATTTCCCTTTATTAAAATAATTGTACAACAATTTGTATATAAAGCTTACGATTAAAACCTATTTTGAAAATACGGATCAGGCCTCACCTCGCTGTGTCCAGACAACCTGAGCTTCATGCTCAGCTCAGTTCTGGCTCCAGGACACAAGACTCGCTCACAGCCTCCGGGGAGAGACAGCAGTTTACCGTGTGCACGTTTACACGGCATCCGCAGAGACTGCCTTGCAGGGTGCTCGCTTCCCATCAGCACACTGTGCACAGTCAGCGCTGAAAGGTAGGTGACTCTACAACAAGGACCTACACGTGTCTGTACGTAAATTACACACAAGACTCACGCATGGAAAATAAGCTCAGGGCCTGGATTTTAATGAGAGAAAAAAACATTTCCAACGTGGTTCTGACAGTTTCGAGTGGTTTAGTCAAAAAATAGTTTTGGTATATAAAAGCCTGTACGTACAGTTGACGCTTCAGGGAAGCGCCTTACTTGCTTCAAGTCTGGAACCAGGCAGGTTATGGTGTCATGGCTGGGACCGGGGAGCTGGGGCCCCTGCCCTCCCACCCCCATAGCTGCCCCCGTGACTTTGCAGGCGTCCCTGCGTCCACCGCCTCCTGGCCCGTGGGCTGCACGTCCACGCTGGGAGGGGTGGGGACCACACCGGGGCAGCACAAGGCTGCAGAGAAGGCAGTGCTGTGCTGAGACTCCTGACCACGTGTCACTTGATTTTAAGGTCCCTCGCATCCACGGCCTGTCGGTGACCTAGACCGAGGCCTGGAACAGGAAGTGGAGCCCACACACCAGGCACCACTGCTGGACAGAAGTCTCCACACAGGGCCTCGTTTGGTGATGAAGAAACGCATGTGGTGAGGACGAAAAAGGTGCCCGGGTTTCTGTGATTTCTAGTAAACGGGAGGGCAGGGCTCTAGCGAGGGGACGCACCTCACGGCAGCTGCAAGTTTTCATTGTTGGGGCTGGGGTGACACCGGGAATGAGGAACGATGGCCTTGGGGCCCAAGTGTGTGACAGCATTCATCTTCCTTGGCAACCGACCAGGGGTTAATTACAGGGCTTCTTACTGGCAACAGGGACAGTTGTTTAGAAAGCTGGGTATTTAATTTGGATTTACAGTAACTGGCAAAAGTCGGTCTTCCTGGAGGCGAATGTCTCTCTCCCAGCTGCGGGCAGACCAGAGAAAGGGCCTCACCTAGAACCTGCCGGGCTTTCACACTGTGGACGCTGTCTGATAAAGGGAGCACCAGTAAAGCCATTTCTAGCTTCAGCTTCCCAGGGAAATGGCAGAATCATCTCTTCAGTGGCTCCTCGTCGCTGGAAAGCCCGTGCGGTGCTCCCAAGGGAAGTTCAGGCCAGTGTTCGCTGTCGGGGTTTGATCCGTGGGTACAACTGGGAAGCAAGGGACAGGAGTTAGGACAAGGGGACGACCCACTGGGCAGGAACCCCTTCCAGAGGCCAGGCTGCCCTCAGAAGTCCGCACACCAGCTCCTTCAGGCCAAAGTTCAGCTTGTCACCCTCCTACGGAGAACTTCCAACTCCCAGGATACCCCATTCCTCTTCCTCTCAGGGCACTCGACACTGACACTGTCTGTAAGGCCCCTAAAGGTGCCTGGCAGGCCCACGGTGTCCAGTGACTGTGTCACGAAAGCATCTGCCAGCCCCACCGGGCACGGAGCACGAGAGCAAAGGCACGGCCCTGCCAAGGGTCTGAGGAAGCATCAGTGCAACGCAGAGGAGCAGCCTGCAGTCGCCTGTCCCCCACCGCATTACCGACCCCACGAGCAGAGCACTCTGAGCAGCCCCTGTCGGGGGGCTCCGGCAGATGCCCCCCCACGGTTCCCACGAGGCTTGGAGAAAGGCAGTCTCCCGCCCGCAGGATTGGAGCCCAGGTTACGCCCACGGGCAGGTAGAGGGGACAGCTGGCTCCGGCACGGGGCCCCCGGTGCAGCGCAGAGTGCTTACCCCCAGCAGGGTTTTGGGCACATAGCCCTCCCGGTCCCCAAAGCGAGCCCACCACCAGTCTGTCTCGCTTTCGTCCTTGCGCCTCAGGATGGTGAGGGCATCCCCTTCGTGGAAGGACAGCTCGTCACTGTTCTGGGCCTCGTAAGCCCACAGAGCATACACCACGCCTTTGTTCATCACGCCCAACTTCTCCTGCACCCCTGGGACGGGAGAGCAAACGGTCAGGTCTCCATGGAGGGCGGGCTGCAGAGAGAGCCCCACAGCAGGACCAGAAGGGACACGCTGCTGTCCTTGGGCAGCCCGGCGGGGGCCGCAGTGGAGTGGTCAGAAGCCAGGCCAGCTGCCACCCTCCGCTTAAAGCCAACAGTCCCTTCCACGTCCCAGCAAGAGGACCGTGGCCGAACCTTTGTGTCCAGAAGCAAAGCAGGGTTGTTCTAAAAGGCGTTTCTTAAGGTGAAACTTACAGCCCACACGCAGAACAAACTCCCAAAAGTCGATGACTAAAGAAGCCGCGGGACTTGCTCTTGGACAGTGGGAAGCACTCACCACCAGAGCGACGGAGCCACTGCGACCCAGTGAGCGCACACCCAGGACTCGCCTGCGGGTCCCCAGGAAGGCCGGCCGCCCCCGCCCCCCCCCCCCCCCCCCCCCCCCGCCCCAAGGCCTCTGTCCTGGGAGCTGGGCCTGGAGGGCATTGCCTGTTTCATTTGTCACTTTGTCCCCAGGGTCTAAGGTAGGCTGGGCCCACAGGTTCTCCCATCGGGTGTAGCGTGGATGGCCTGTGACTGTTTAGCCCTTGGAAAACCCAGCGCTGCCTAATGGAGAAGGGAGCTTCCCTCCCCCACAGGACAGGATGGGAGACCCACCGTGGGACACCTCAGCCCTCACAGGCCTCTCCCTTGGGGACCCCCGGCCGCCCGCCCCGCACCGTGTAAGAACTGGGAGCACTGGGGGTAGCCTTCCTCCGCCTCTTCGCACTTGTCCGCAGCAGTCTCAACGTCGCTGATGGTGGAGGCAAAGATGGCGGCGCCGCTCTCCACCAGCTGTTTGCAGAGGTGGACGCTGTTGCAGGAAGCAGCGCAGTGCAGCGGCGTCCTGGAGGGACAGAGGAGGTGCTCACGCCCGGCCGGGTCCCAGGCGGGCCCCAGGGCTGTGTGCTCAGTGCCCCGCGAGCTGCTGTGCTGCTTGGCTGTGTAGTGGCCTCACTTCTACTAACAGTTTTGGGCCACACACACGTTTCTGAAAAGGGCGGGCGGGGAGTGGACTGAACACCGGCCTGGAAGCTGGGTGTTCACAGTGCAACAGCACGAATGTCCCTCACACCAATGATGTGTCCCTTACAATGGCTGCGACAGTGACGGCTGTGTTGTATCACAATATACAAAAAACAGCTGTTCAAACGCAGCAGTGCAGACGGCTGCCTGAAGCTCACGATGAGACCCACGGGGCACAGGGCCTGCGGCGCAGCGGCCGGCCTGCAAGGCTCCCCTCCACACAGGCTTTCTGGCCGCTTAAAAACGTATGGATCAGCAGAGGCTCAGCCTACAGTCAGCGGTCAGCCACGTGTAGAGCGTGATCATGCCGAGCCTTTAACAAAACCCCCGCGAGAACGAAGACCAGGAGGATACGCAGGCCTGGGACCAAGTTGCCACCCTCGTCCTCTTCCCTTCTCCCCACCACCCCAGCGCCCCGGGGCCCTCACCAGCCGTCGCTGTCGGCGGCATTCACGTTGACCCCGAAATCCAGCAGGAACTTCACAATCTGGTGGTGCCCGGCACAGACGGCGTTGTGCAGCGGGGTGATGCCCTCGTCGTTGGGCTTGCTGGGGTCCTCCACCTAGGACAAAGGGCGCGTGAGCCCCAGCCCTGCCCGGGGCCACCAGGGCTGCGGCCGCCCGCCCACTCACCTCGTAGATGATCCTCTGCACCAGGTCGAACTCCCCCTCCAGGGAGGCGTCAAGGAGAAGCGCCAGTGGGTTGAAGCGGACCCTCAGCCCGTGCCCCGTCCTCTCCGAGTTGGGCTTCTTCAGGTTGGTCCGTTTGCTCTATCGGGAGGAAGCTTTGGATTTCAGGGTGACCCCATGGAAGCAGGCCCGGGGGCAGAGGGGAGGGCCGAAAGCCCAAGGCAGAGCTTCACCCGCAGCCCCGAGTGGTGCCGGGCACCCCTGGCCAGCCCGCTCTCGGGCCAGCCCAGCCTGGCTCCGGAGGGTGTCTCTGCCTCAGGGGCCGGGCTGCGCCACGGGCACCCGAGAGAGGCAGCAAGTGGGGGGGGGGGGGTCACAGCCGAGCCCAACTGCTTCCGCCCTGCCAGCCGTGAGGGGCTCCCACCTGCCTCTGCTCCTGCAGCACTGCCCTCCCTCCAGGGCTCTGTCTAGAAGGTTCTCCTTCCCCTTGCTGCCTGCCCTTCTGATCCCCACATGGCTGCCCTTCCTCAGGGCCGCCTCGGGCCCCCAGGCTGGCTCTCTGGTAAGAGGCCACCGCCCCTCGTGCCCTGGATGAGCCCCACTGCTCCCAGCAGCCCCGACGCAGGCACGCCCTCCACAGGCACTGTCTGGGTGACTAGGGAGCCATGGCCCTGGTCCGGGGTGGCACCCACCGTAGGGGCCGCCGGCGGGGGCGCGGCGGGGGGAAGCGATGGGGGGAGCGGCGGCTCAGTGGGCGGGGCCGCGGCCACGTTGTTGTTGTCGTCCTCGGCAGGCTCAGCCGTTTGGTGGGTGTTCAGGGGACAGATGGGCCCCTCTGGTTCGGGGGAAGGGAGCCGGTTGTCATTGGCATCCGAGGTGGGGGCAGGCTCGGCCGGGAGCGGGGCCGTGGGCAGGGTGGGGCCGGCCTCGCCCAGGTTCCCGTTGGCAGCAGTGTTGCCATTGTCCACGTCGGCTAAGGAGCCCAGGAAGTCCCGCGAGGAGCTGGGCTGGTAGAAGGGGGTGCCCTCCATGCCCCCAGCCAGGGTGTTGAAGCGCTGATACAGCAGCTTCTGGATGTTGGGCCCACCGGGGCCCTCTGGCTCCGTGATGGAGCCGCGCTTCTTCAGGGGCCGGGGCGCGTTGGCCAGCTTCCTGCGCAGGGCCTCCAGGTCAGCATCGCTCTGGTAGCGCAACGGCGAGTGCACAATGGGCGTGAGCTTGGTGGGGCTGAGCGGCCGCGGCAGGCTCTCCACGGCGGCCCCGTCTCCGGGGGCGGCAGGGCTGTCCTGCTCTGGCTCCTTCTCAGCACTTTCTGAAGGCGGCAGGGGATGCGAGGCGCTTGTGGCCAGCGACCCATGAAGAAACGGTAGCGGCGACGGGGATGTGGAGCCGGAGGGCAGAACGGGTTTACCGTACACTGGGGAGACACAGAGGACACCCACCTCAGCAGCCTGTGGCGTCTGGGGCCTGCTCACCAGGCACCTTTGACGACACAGAGATGGCCTCCTACAGAGACTGTAATCTGCCACTGAGGATGCTAAGTCCCCATATTAAATCCCAAAGGAAGCTGCTGCTCACAGAACCCCACCAACTCCTTCTGGAAGGTGGAGTGTCTCTAGTTTATCAGTTTTTACAGAACTGGGTCTTTCTCAAATGAAAAAGAACAAAAGGTTGCAAACCTGCCTTCCTGCCCTAAACAGGTGTTCACTGTTTCCTGGCCAAGAAGAACCCACGTGACCTGGGACCAAGCCAAATGATGTAAAACGCAGGCCACCTCAGAAAGGAAGGCTCATCCGGTGGCCCCGGCAAGCCTTTCCCCCGTGGGCCAGGGCCTGCCACAGGCCAGTGCTGGTGTATCCACCTGGGAGATCCCTGGGCACAGGGTGGCCTGGCCTGCCTAGGGATTCTCAAACTAGATTCTAGAAACGTTCTGCAGCCACGCCCAAGAACGTCTGAAGGGGCCCCAGCCCAGCCCAGATGCCCAGGATCCTGCCGCACAGGGAGGAATCACCGTCAGCCTCCGTATGTGGGGAACTGGGCTCTGTGCTCACACCTGCCTCCCCAGGAGGCCCGGGGCTGATGTTCCCGCACCCAAACCAGGGCTTTTCTCCCCTGTGGGCTCTGGGAAAGGATCCCAAAGCAGCAAAACCGTCCCCCCTCGCATCACCCCCTAGGGGCCTGGCTCAGCTACTGCTAGGAGGCCAGGGGGATCAGATCCAGGCAGAGCTCCCACTACGCCAGCTCCCCAGACAGGTCCTGTACGAGTTACTACGAAGCAGGAGGAAAAGAGGAAATTCCAAAGTGCCAGCCTTCCGAGACCTGGATTTCCTGAGAAATGTGGGCAGGCAGGTGCTCAGACAGGAAGTCAGAGAGCGGTGGTCCACCTGCAGAACTGCTCTATGCATGTCATCTTTTACCCCCATCTCACACAGATACCCAAGGCCGCACTTTATGTAAGCATCAAGTTTAATCCTAAACAGCACGTGGCCCAAAAGTAAGGATATGGATTGGCATTTTCTCAAGTATGACTTCCTCACCCCGAGAGATGGCGAGTGCAAACCCACCGTACCTGCTTTAACCGACTTATTTAAGGTGCTGTGCGCCGCTGGCTGGTACTTCTTAGGTGGCGTGGCTTGCTGGAGGTACATGGAGTATATGGAACTTGAATTCACTGTCTGTGGTCCTTTCCTGGGGGATTGTGGCCTTGACCCTTTATCAGCCAGAAAGGGCCTAATGGCCACAGTCAGTGGGAGTTCAGGTTTGCCGTCGCCAGCTGGAAAGGCAGGCAGCCCCGCCGGTGGGTACGTGGGACTTGGTGGCACAGAAATCCTCTGCTGAATCTGCTGGGAGGACCCTGGCTGGTGGGGGCCAGCCGCAGGGGGCAGCGGTGCAGGTTTCTGCCGACTGGGCAGGCCTGCGCTGGGCCTGGGCAAGCTGCCCTCCTTCCTCCTCTCCAGGGAGTTTGTCGAGCCTGGGCCCGCGGGCGCAGGGCTTGGGTACGTCCCATAGCTTGGGGGCAGCTGCTTGCCGACACCAGGGATGGGAGGTGGCACTTTACCAATCTCGATGCCCTAAATTTAGGTGTTAAAAAAGAAAGACAAAGTCATCCTTTGAAAAGTCAAGCACGTTTCCATCCACGGTCACAAGAGCACAAAGCAGGACTTGTAATCCTTCAAACAGGCTTGTGACCAGGCACGGGGCACGCCGTGGGGGTGAACAGCAGGGTGAACGACCCTGACCAAAGGCCTCACACCTGTACCCCACTCTCGTGCTCAGGGTCCATGAACTCCTTCAGACTTGGGTATGATTTGGACACCAACAGGATTAATTTGCCTCGTGACACCTCCTACCACTTAGATAAAGACGAAGGCTAAATAAGGATGTAGTCAGTCAGGAGCTTGTTTGTGTTTTGTGACAAAGACAAACGGCCTACCAGCTTCTCCGGGGCTCCCAAGGCTGACAAGGGCGTAGGCTGGCTCGAGACGGCCCCCTGCTTGAGCGGCCCCTCCACGTTCGGGTCCTTCCAGTCCACACTGGCGATCTGCGTCGGTTTCACCAAAGAGCTAGAATTTTGTTTTAATGTTGGCCAGTTTCCATCATTGGCTTGAAAAGAACACAGAATTTAAGTAAAATTTTTCTTGAAATTAGTTGAACCAACATAAGAATAACCCCCTGCCAGAAACAAAAATCACCTTCTGGAACGTCACGTTCTGACGGAGCTCCATGACCAGGAGGTGCCCCCCACACACACACCGGCTGCTGCGCGGCAGGACGACCAAGGTCGGCCTCTGCCGGCACCGCCTCACCAGTGCCCACGTGCGGTCACGTGTGCAGAGACTCCATGACCAAGCACAGGGCTGCTCCAGCCCGGGAGAGGGACCAGAGGATTGCAGAAACATTCTTAGTGCCCACTGAAATACAGGTCAAAGCCATTACAGCGACACCAATGAATAACAAGCGTCGGCACTTGGTTTTCAAACGCTATTTACAAATACAGACAGCAATATAAAAAAAGACATCTTTTAACTTCATAACAGGTTTGACCTGTACTGCTTCTAGTATTAAAAGAAAGATTTGACTTTAATCTGTTAGAAATTTCCACCCTCTTAAAATAATTCATGATCACAGGAGGACAGTACAAGCTCCCAGTGATTGGAGTAGCAGGCTATTATTCTGTTGCAGTGATTAGAAAGCCAGTCAACCCAGCATTTTCAGGACAGCCACTGAAAAGGTATGTTTTTTAACATAGCATCTTCCAAACTGAGAAAGGGTGCAGAAGCATTCCCTGGTAACACAGGCCCACTCACAGTGAGCCCACAGGGTTAGATCTCAGCCTGCCTCAGGCCCCTGCTTCTCTCCGCAGCGGTACAGGGCTGGACCGGAGTGGGAACCCTCCCAGCCATCAGCCGTATGGGAGGGAAAGCAGCCAGGGGCACTGTTCTGGGCCCTCCTGTAAGAGAAGCACACCCTCGCCTCTCCTCCCGTCTGCCAGCACGGGCAGGTGGGGCAACAGCAGAGCAGCAGGGAAATCACCCTCCCTTACAGCAATTGTGCTTGAGCCCAAACCTGCGACTCACAAAACAGGAAGAGCAAACTCTCAAATCCACTCTGCACACAGCCATACAAGGCAGCGTCAGCGCAGTGAGGATGAAAGGGCCTTTGAGTGCCCGAGCAGCGACAGCTCCTAAGCCAATCTATCTCTGGCAGCAGCACGGCCAGCCCATGTGTCCACTGCTCCTCCGGCTCAGTTCCTCCATGGCTGGAAACCACTGCAGGCTCCAGGCCGCTGCTAGGGCCCTGGTGAGGCATTCCCAGGCCTTAGTCCAAACCATCGCTTTGCTCTGTGTGGCCCATCAGCCTCTTCCGGGCCAGAAGTGTGTGTGCTTTCACACCCCCTTGGTTGTATCAGACCGGGGGGTGTGTGGGCCAGAGATGCACAGGTTCACCAAGGATGCACCAAGGTGCAAACTCCGGGCTGAGGGGAAGATGGACAGAGCCTGCTGCTGACTCAGGAGGGAGGATGGGCCTGGCCGTGGGGGCTGGAGTCCCTGACCTCTCTCAGGATCACATAAAATGCGGCCCCCAGCTGCTCCTCAGATCCCACAGCCATGGCAGAGTTCGCAGAGATCAGGCACAAAGGGACTGGACAGGGACTAGGAATTTTCTTTCTTCAGGATGAGGCAGGAGGTACAGAAGGAAGACCATTTATTATTATTATAAAGGGACAAAATCATCTAAGTATGATGGGAGATTCCTGTACTGAAGATAAAACTAAAACCCTCATAATAAACTCAGAAAATCATCTTAATTTTGTAAAAACAAAACCAAAAAACCCTTGCTGGGCCAGCACCTGTCAAACCCTTCCTGAGGAGGATCTGGTGTTCCGACCCAGCCCAAATCGCACACCGGTTGAAGGTGGGGACCAATCAACATATATATGGCTTCTGTCTCAAGCCTGAATGCGAGGAGCAGGCCTTCGTCAGTTTGGAAGAACAGCCACGGCTGATTTGGCACTGTCACCAGAGCTTCCCACCGGACCTGCCGGCCAACATACGGTTCGCAAACGGGCTTGTGGGGCGCTGTGACGAGCCACAGTCAGGCCCGACGTCGAGGTCTGACACTGCCCACGAGCTGGTCACTCTGGGTTTACCACGGCCATCTGTGTGACACGGGAACCAGAAAGACAGCCGACAGCACAGTTAGTCTCCCCTGGGAGATTTTCTCACCCCGGCTCTACATCTGGGCCGAGATACTGCCCCCCAACGTGGGGGTGACACAGGTTTCCTGCGCCCACTCACCCCACAGCACAGAGGAGCGAGGCTACTGCCGAACCTCCGGAGGACACCGTCTCCCGGCCCTGCGAGGGGTCTTCTCCCGGCAGCCTCTGTGAGGCGGCCTAGCACACACCCACAGAGGAGAGGGGAAACTCGAGCCATCCTCAGCTCGGGGCAGGTTTGAGATATTTAAGCAGAGAAGGAGCCGGCTGTGCTAATTATCTGCCATCGGCAATAGCTGAATATATACTCCCACCATCGGGTGGTTCAAACTATAAATAACAGCTTATCAAAGAAAGCTGCAATTAGAGTTTCATGCCGACCACGCACTCCACGTGGCTTCTGAGACACAGCCACGAAGAGATCTGAGCCGGGCACGTGGCCCACGAGGACTGGGGACACCTCCTCCCACCTGGGTCGGAGCAAGCCCCCGGTCCTCCAGCGGGGGCAGCAGTGGTGTTGCTGCTCAGACCAGGTGCCAGGCAAGAGAACTCAAAGCGACCAAATGAAAGACCAGCACAAATCTACCACCAAACCTGGAAAAACGTCCTCAAAATGTAGCCCTGACCCAGTCAGCACTACTGCTGTCAGGCATGTCACCTGTGCTCTGTGATTCCGTGTGTGATGGGCCAGCATGGCAGCCCTGTCATATACAAAGTCTCACTGCCAAGGAGCCCTGGCATCTCATGCATCAGTTTAAAGCACAGCCGTCTTCCTCGGAGCACACAGTGCAGAGTCTCCGTGGAGACCTGGGCCTGCGCTCGGCTAGGAAGCTGGGGGCACCACAGGGGCTCCATGTCCTCGGGACGGCTACGTACCGGCTCGGCGCTGGGGCCCGAGTCCAGTCACACCGCACGATTCAGGGTGGCCAAGAGCCAAAGGGGTGGCTTGTGAACGCGCTGGTGGACAGAGACCATGCTGGGTAGGGAAGGCAGAGCAGCTACAGGCTCTGCTGATGTGGAGGCAGCCCTCTGCCTGGGCCACAGCGTGAGGACGAGCAGCAGCCCAGGCTACAGTGACGCGTCCCCTGCCGCCAGCGAGCACCCTCACAGGCAAACAAAACCTGTGGCAGGAGAGGCTCAGGTCTTAACTAATTTGTGTTTTGAGAAGCCACACAGTAAGGACACTGAGTCCAAAAAAGAGAACCTGTTCTTGTTTTAGGATCATCATTACTGTGGTGGCACACAGCTCCCCAAATGCTGCCCTAGAGGACAAAGTGCCTTGGAGGACACATCACAGAGGCTGGGTGCAACGTGGGGGTCTTCTCTGAGGCTACTGTCCCCCCCACAGTCCCTCTTCCTGCTCTCTCTCCCCTCGAAAGAGGACCCAGGCCACTCACCGGATTTGGATCTTCCGTGGGCAGCACTTGAGGCGATAGTGAGAGACTGGGGCTTTATGGGGTCTCCGGGGGCAGGATAGCTGCCGGTGCTGGGAACCTGGATGTAAGGCCCCACCGCAGCGACCCTGCCAGGCGTGCTCAGGGGTGACTGTGGCGACGACGTGCCATTCACACGGCTCAGCTATAAAATGGGAAGAAATCAGAGTCAAGATTATCCTCAGTTAAGTTCTTTTAACTGTAAGCCTAGTATGACCGACTGCTCAGATTTGAGCCAATCACTCAACAGTTCATACGTAGGAAGCTCCATGACCCTAGAAGATCAGTACCTAGAAAGGGCAAGACTTCAAAAAAGGGCCTGAGCCCACAGTCCCACATGAGTGATGCTCTGTGATAACACCTACCTGTTTGTGAGTTATAAAACCAGGAGCCGAGTGTGTAACAGAGCAACCCCTCAGGACCCCTCTGTGTACATAACCCTCTCACCTGGGGATGCACTCCCTTCCCTGGGTGGGCACAGAGGCATCGTCCAGCCTGGGCTCTGAGCCTGGCTTCAAATCCTGCTCTGCCACTTACTCGCTGGGCTGCCTTGGGCAAGTGATGGAACATCTCTGAGCCTCTGTGCCCATGTCCGAAAATTCGGGATAAGCGTTGTTGTAAGGACTGAATGAGCCACGCAGGACAAAGTAATAGGGTCTGGAACCAGGTGAGACTCTGACCAGTTCCCTGAAGGCAGCTCTGCTGTTCTCAGCAAGGACACCGGGCCACAGCCAATGACACTGGTCACGTGACACTGCCCAACAAAAAAAGCCTGCAAAACAGGGATCTGACTAGAGAAACACTGACCCTTAGAGTTCCCCAGACAGGCTCTGAGAGAGCCATACCCATCCTACAACTGTTTGCAAAATTCTGCATGCATGAGCATGTGTCATTTTGGAGAAAGCGTTCATGATTTTGACAATTGTTCAAAGGTGCCTAAAACCTTTGGGTTGGAGACACATCTCTGCAGAAGCACCAACTTCTTCAGGGAGATCCCTTGAAGTATCAGATGGAATAAGAAGTAATATTTATGTAGCCATCTGTGACGGTTAATTTTACCTATCAACTTGGCTAGGCTGTGATACCCAGATATTTGGTCAAACATGTCTAGATGTTGCTGTAACGGTATTTTTAACATTTAAATCAACAGACTTTGAGTAAAGCAGATTGCCCTCCATAATGTGGGTGGGCTGCATCCAATCAGTTGAAGGGCTTACAGAGAAAGACTGAGGTCCTCAGAGGAAGAGGAAATTCCACCTCTAGACTGCCTTCAGACTCACGCTGCAACATCCACAACTCCCTGGGTTTCAGACAACTCCCTGGGTTTCAGGCTGCCAGCCAGCCCTGCAGATTTGGGGTGTGCCTGCCTCCACAACCGCATGAGGCAGTTCCTTACAGTCAGTCGACTGATCAGTCTCTACACACAGGTACACACAGAACTGATTCTGTTCTCCGGAGACCCCTGACCCACCACTAAGACTGTAATGTAAGCAAGCATGGAGCACGGGCACACGTCCTCTCCCATGCTCTGTGTGTTGTTAATTGAGAGAACAAGGAAATCATTATCTGAAATCATGGCATCATACAGATCAACCATTGACCTTTAAGCACTCTGGTTAAAAAAAAAAAAAGTGTGGATTTGTAAATAAGAGACTTTTCACCTGAGACCACTGATCACGATGCCCACAGAAGTGGCAGTACCCTTCTGCCTCTCGTGTCCTCCTAACCCATCCCACCAGGCGAAGCTGCTGAAGCCTGCACCTCGCCTCCTGAGAGCTACCTTCAGAGCAGCAGGAGCTGACAAGAGGACACCTGTCAACGTGAAAGCACTGGTTTTGGAGTGTGGAGAGAGGAACTCTGGGAGCACTGTCCCAGCTACCTGGCTGCCTGCTCCATTTCCACTCCTGAGGGCAAAGTGCCAATCAGCTCTCCACTCAGGCACTGCTCCCCTCAAACACTGAGCACCACTGGTGGAACGAAAGGTCAAGTGCTACATCCAGCCAGAGACACCACACACAGCAGTCCCTTATCCTCCCACGAACTCCCAGCGATGCATACGCTCATGAAGCACTGACAGCAACAGCAAGACTCAGGGGCACCCTGCCTAACAACAGGGCTGGGTAACATGACCACAGGCCCTGGAACATGGAATTTTACACAGAAGTTACAAAAGGAATGAGGTAATAATGACCTGGAAAGATACCCATATTGCAGTTCAAAAAAAAAAAAAAAAAAAAAGACTAGGTACAGAACAGTGTGAATGATATAATTCCTACAATTCCATTTTCAATTAAAAATTGAATACCTTTCTCTCTATATTAAGCAAAAGACTGGAACCGTTAATAACTATCATCCCTGGAGAATGAGAAGGATGGAAGGGACTTCCACATTTTCCTTTAAATATTTCTGCACTGTTTTAACTTTCTTCCAATGAGTATTTACTACCTTTGAAATTCAAAATACCAAATAAAGATTTTTAAAAAGCAATAACTCCTTATATAGCACTTTTCTCAAGAGTTTACAAAGTCTTTCCACATGGGTTATTTCTCAGAATCCTTATAGCAATTCTCAGTTCACAGCAAGGACACAAGGCTACACAAGGTCAAGAAATTTATGCACATGGCGCAGCTTAAAATGGTTGCTGCAACTCCAGCGCCAAAGCTGCCCCCCAGTGGAAAGGAGACAGAGCTGCCTGGGGAGAATGAATGGTGAGGAGCTGCGCACCGGGCGGTTTTGATCCATACATACACCAGGCAACAACTGTGTCTTTGGGAACATGAACTTTCTTCTACTGTCACTTTTTATGGTTTATGGCCAATTTATGTTTATCAGCTATGGCAAATGGGGGGAGCAGAATGGCATTACAGTGAAATGTACACTTTGAGGATGAACCATTTTCAGTAGTTTATCTCACAGAAATATTTTCTTTTTCACATGCCTGAATTTTTTTCCCATAAAGACGTTCACGCAGTTCGTTGATCCGCTTGTCCATCACGGCCACCTCCATGTTGCGCTTATTCAGGAGCTCCTTCTGCTGCTGGAGCTTTGAATTCTGCTCCTGGTTGAGCTGATTACGAATCTGCAAAATAGAAAACACAACATTCATGATTTGTATTAACTAAATAGTCAAGTTCTCATCGTTAGGGGGATTAAAAAAAGAAGAAAAAAGCAACATTTAGTTCTTATGTGTATTTACATACAGGCATCGTCCCCTGTATGCTAAATATTTTACAGGTACAGCACAGATGAAGCCAGAACATATTTCTTACGGAACAAAAAAAGAGCAAATATCTGCAAATGTGTCTTCTTCAAAGCGTACGGAATGACTAGTACCAGTAATGACTGTGGGACACCATGCCTGTGGTCCTAGGGAACGGGGGTGGGTGGGTTCAGTGACATAAGGAGGGGTATCTGTTCTGCCCCACACAGTCCGTTGAATGTGGCAGCAGGAAACCCAAGGATGGCCACATCACCAAGCAGAATGTTCTCGTATCTGTTAACGGGAGCACTTTTGAAACACGAGATAGAGCATAGAAACCATCAGAGTGCACTGCACATGGAAGGCTAAGCCTGGTCTCGCTGAACTCTTTCAGATGCACACATGTACTAGCACATACATACTGGCATATGTGTATAGACAGGAGGTAACATGTACTTTATAACCTAGATTGCAGTCAAAAAATTGGAAATACATATAAATAAATGTACTACAGTCTTCACACTTTACCAAAAATAAATCCTTAAAAAACCCTGCACTTGCATGAGGGAGGGGATATGAGGATATATGTATACGTATAGCTAATTCACTTTGTTATATAGCAGAAACACAACAATGTAAAGCAATTATACTCCAATAAAGATGTTAAAAAAAAAGAAAAACCCTGCACTTTTAACAACTGCTTAAAAATATAAAAAGTAATAAATTTTTATAACACTTTGTTTCTATGCATTTACATTACAGAACTTAATGGCAACAAGTGAGTTTACTCTCTGTAATTAAAAATCTGCATTTCGTAAAATGATATAATACTTTTTCTAGCAAGTACTAATATAACTGCAAAACTTGTATCTGGCTTGAAAAATCACCTGCTGGGGACTTCCCTGGTGGTCCAGTGGGTACGACTCCGCACTCCCAGTGCAGGGGGCCCAGGTTCAATCCCTGGTCAGGGAACTAGATCCCGCATGCCATAACCAAGAGTCTGCATGCCACAACTAAAGATCCTGCGTGCCGCAACTAAGACCTGGCTCAGCCTAAATAAATAAATAAATATTTTTAAAAAATCACCTGCTGAATGACAATTTCTGAGAAATGGGAATCTTGAGGGTTGTTATGATTGTGTCCTCCCAAAATTCATATGTGGAAGCCCTAATCCCCAATGTGATAGTATTTGGAGATGGGGACCTTGGGAGGTAATTAGGCTTAGATAAGGTCGTGAGAGTGGGGCCTTCATGATGGGGTTAGTGTCCTTATAGGAGGAGGAAGAGAGATCAGAGCATGTGCGGACACAACAAGAAGGCAGCCAGGAAGTGGACCCTCACCATGAACTGATCTTGGACTTCCAGCCTCCAGAACTGTGAGACATAAATGTCTGTTGCTTTAAGGCAGCCCAAGCTGACTAAGACAAGGATTTAACAAATAAGCATCTATCTTGTCAAAACACAGTTTACACAGAGGCCTTAAGTATCATCTAAAGCTTAATTCTTTACCAGTTCATCATATTGCCAATTAAATTCATACCGAAATTTCTGTACCGAAAACATGCTAAGTGAAAGAAGCAAGTCACAAAGAACTACAACTGCATGATTCCATTCATATGAAATTTCTGGAATAGGCAAATCCATAGCGATGGAAAGTAGAGTCATGGTTGCTTAGGGCTAGAGGGATAGGGGGTTGTGGGGTGATGGCTAAAAGGTGTCTTTTGGGGGTGATGAAGATATTCTAAAATCAACTGTGGTGGCGTATACAGAACTCTGTGAAGATACTGAAAACCACTTAATTGTATGCTTTAAATGGGTGAATCGTATGCTATGTGAATTATGTCTCAAAGCTGTTTAAAAAATTATTTTGTACTGAATACATTTTGTGCCTACTATTAAATTAGAATCCATTAATTTGTTTCCAGTTCCTGAGGTTTCCACACTGAAAGAAAACTCAAAAGATAAGGAAGTTTTAATAGAATCATTCCTCGGACCCAGGTGAGTTACCTGTAGCTCTTGGTACAGTCTTTTCAGCTCCACTGCTGCTGGTCCTGTCAGCTTGCCATTGTAAGACTGGAACCCATTCAGTTTTCCCTTCTTTAAATCTTCCAATTGCTGACTGAGCTGATCAACTCTTAAAATTGCAGTCTGTACTTCTTGCTTCTTTTCCTGGAACATGGCACTGAACCTTTCTATTTCGGCAGCTATAATTTCCCACCAATTAGGGAAAAAAAAAACCATAATTTAGTTGATATTCTTTTTTTCACAGTATTTTGCTATTTTTATTTTGTGATTTCTTCATTTCTATCCATTTAACTCAACTTTAGCATCATCTAGTGCCAGACCTTGGAGAGAAAGTTGTAATATCCATAATCCAAAACACACTTCAACAAGCCTTTGGAACACATAATGTGACCGCTCATATGACAAACAATTAATTTGCACTAATTATTGAATATTTTTAAATCAGGGGAATCTGTCCAAAAGCTATCTTGGTCAAGCCACTTAGGAATCTCAAGGCACCAAAGAGACCAAGGCTCTGTGAGGGCAGGACCATCCAAATCTATCTTGCTTATTCTGTAACATAAAGTAGGTACTGACAGAACTGACTGATGAAGTAACAATCCACGCACACAAATAAAAAGTGAGCATTTGTATGCTTTATCTTAATACACAGATAAAATTTATGCTGTTCAATTAAAACAGACCCTCATGATGAGTTGAGTCTTAAGAGTACCCTAGCCCCAGTCCAAAGGGTGGCTACAACCAAGGTAACAAAAGGATCTCTCTACTACATTGCTAAAGCTGCAGAAGATTTTCTAAAATCTCTTAATCTAACCAATCCATCCAGTTAGATGCAGATGACAGAGCAAAGCTTTAGTGCTTTTCTACAGCAAGATCTGACATCAGCTTGTGACTGAGAGCATCTGGAAGCTGGCCTCTGTCTCACGTCATCTACGCCTGCTGAGTGTCAGGGTGCCAGTGGGCCGCGGCACGTACACAGATTGCCATTCATGATTTTGCTGTAGTCTACTTGTCCTCTCATGGCACGGATCTTCTTCAGTTTATTTTCCTGGGCTTCAACTCTTTCTTTCAATTTCTGAAGCTTTTCATTTTCAGAAATAGACTGCTGCTGACGGCGCTCCTGTTGCTTTAGAAAATGTAAACGCTGTTCCTATTGAGAGAGGAAAATAGCTAACTTTGAAAACTGAAACATACAGTAACTTTTGTACACTAAAAAAATTTAAGTGGATCCCTCAGTATCTCCTATCTTAATGAATGTTACAGAAATGCCAGCCACGCTTTCACCTCCATCCTGTGTGTGAAGCCCCAGCAGCCTAAGCTTCCTGCCGCCAGCACCAGGTTTCCTGCTGCTACAAAGCGGCTTTCAAGGGTCCCTTATATTAACCTCCTAAAGGAAATGAGCACTGAGTAGCAGAGAATTTTATATTGAAAAGAGATAAGGTGAGCAGTAAGGAGATGAACCTCTAATCTGCTAAGTGACAGGAACTTTTGAGGAAGGGTTTGTTTTCTTTAGGATTAGTTCCTTCAAAAGTAATCAAACATTTTATAGTCAGACAAGAACAGGACAGTCCTACAGTAAAAATATATGCGATACTCTTCAATAGTTTTTTTCCCTACTCATGTGAAAGCACACCTTAAGGGTAACAGTCAGTATTATTCATGGTCCCATCTGTATGCATAAAACATACTTGAAGAGGCTTAAGTGTGACTGTGTAGGCGTTACACACTGCACACTAAGGGAAGGGAATATGTGCTTCAATATGGAAAGATCAGCATTAACTTGTGAATTACACTGCTGAAAATATCTAAGGTTTTTTTAAAATAGCAATACTCTTGGATCAATATTTGGAAAGAAAATAAAAAGTAGAATTAGAAAATTCTATAATGACGTAATACCACGTACATTTCATCTTAGAAATGGAATGAAAATACTTTCCAATTACTTTTAATTGTTCTTTATTCTTGTAAATCCAATAAACTTTGTAAGACAACTTTTAAAAACAAGTCCAACTTAAACTATTATTTACATAAAAGTGTACAGAATCACATGGTCTTTCAATAAATGATAAAAAATTGAACTGGACATTTGGTTCTTAAGAAAATCTCTCTACAGAGCAAGCATGAAAAACCTAGGTAGTGGCGTTAACATGTTCTCTCTACAGCAGTTTCAGAACATTTACGATCATTAGAACATGAAATCATTTTCAGCAGGCATGGGTGATAGGTCTGATTTTTTAGTCCAAGACTAAACCATTATTTAGAAAAGTTTTGAAAGCAAGCAGGATCCTGTGGGGCCGTCCCAGGTACAAAAGCCTTTTCTGCGCCCCCATTTCTGGTTTGTAGGGAAAAGGCTTCAGATTCCTATGCCTTCCCTGAGCCCTAAAAGGCAGATTCAGTTACTAACCAGGGAAGTAAGAGAATGCAGGAACAAAGGAGGAACAGTCAGGAAACAACAGGGTCCTGGCTCCTCCTCCAGGGACACACAGAACGATATACCCTTGAGCTCTTCTGCAGGAACTAAGGCCCCCACCCAGGTGGAGGATGCTAACTCCACGCTGAGCACAGACTCCGGAACACCAGCCTGTTTCCTCACCACCAACGAATCAGAAGAAAGCCACACACCCTGCAGCCCTCCCCTAAATTTTGCCTATAAAAATGCTTCCCTGAGAACCACCAAGGAATTTTTGAGCATGAGCCACCCGTTTTCCTCACTTGGCCCTGCAATAAACCTTTCTCTTTTCCAAACTCCAACATTTCTGTTTTGGTCTGTTTGGCCTCCCTGCGGGTCGGCAACAGTTTCAAATGCTACGACAGAGTTTCAACAACAAATCCAGTACTCAGTGTAAATAATGAGTGCTGATGATGCCGTGCACCAAAATAAACCAAACAAATTCCTTGCAGGGTGGGACAAAGGGAAGCCACTGTCTTGGGGGCCCACGGCCAGGGTCTTATCACAGGTCATTGGCTTCCTCTAGAACACTAATGCCAACTACATCAGCCGAGAACACATCCAGAGGGAAAAGGAGGGGACAATGGAAAGCATCCTTTCTTTCCAAATTTTATCTACAATTGGGTAAGGCCAACTGTTTCCTGTCCCGGGGGGTTGTGTGTGCAAGTCAAGGGTCAGATGCTCTTGTTCTGATACTTTCCCAACTTCAAGAAGCTATAGTATGCATTTATGATTACAGAAGAGATAATTAAGATATTGTGTTTAACACTGTGGCGGCATGGTCCTACTTGCAGGGGTTAGCCAGGTAATCTAAAGTAATGCCGAAGGACACACTTGTTGCACATTTCCCCACCGCTGCTTTAATAACTTACCTTGGCAACCAACATTTGCTGCTGGTTTTCAATTTGCTGTTGTTGCCTAGCTGCCATATCTTGGAGTTCTGAGAGGGTAAGTTCGACACGTGGATTTCCAATCTGCAGGGAACAAAACAAACTCAGACTGGAATGTATGTTTATCTGCATAATCATTTTCTCTAGTGTCAAAATGCACACACATCAAGATTTTTAAATAGGTTCCCTAGAAGCTAAGAGAAGATAAATAAGTTTACTTTCTCATAAGAACTTTTCCTCCTAATTGTTGACTGCTTCTATTAAATTTATTTGAGTAAACTGGGATGTCAAATGTTTAAGGATAAACAACGTAAAAAATAAATGTGTAGGGCTTCCCTGGTGGCGCAGTGGTTGATAGTCCGCCTGCTGATGCAGGGGACACGGGTTCGTGCCCCGGTCCGGGAAGATCCCACATGCCGCGGAGCGGCTGGGCCCGTAAGCCATGGCCGCTAAGCCTGCGTGTCTGGAGCCTGTGCTCCGCAACAGGAGAGGCCACAACAGTGAGAGGCCCGCATACCACACAAAAAAATAAAAAAACATAAAAACCTATTTTTAAAAGCATCACTGAGCTGACACAGCAGGAAGGAAGCTACAGGGGCCAAAATAAAGAGACAGCAGAAGCTCTGGGCATTGAGGAAATATCAAAGCCACCTTATGCCCACCTGGAGACTTGCCCTCTGGAGCTGCTGAAGCCTGGCACTAAGAGAGAAATATGGTTTTCCGGTAGTGACGACCTCCCCAAGAGAACACGCCTCTCGGAATGGATCTCCTTCATCCCTTTCCAGGAGAGAAGAGGAACACAAGAAGAAGCGCCTGGTGCAGAGCCCCAGTTCCTACTTCATGGATGTGAAATGCCCAGGATGCTATAAAATCACCGTCTCTAGCCATGCACAGACAGTAGTTTTGTGTGGCGGCTGCTCTACTGTCCTCTGCCAGCCTACAAGAGGAAGAGCAAGGCTTACAGAAGGATGCTCCTCCAGACAGCAGCAGCACTAAAAGCACCCTGAATCAAGCAGAACAGGAAACCATCCCAATAAACACATTTCAGATTAAAAACAAAAAAAAGAGAGAGAAAGACGAGACCAACCCAGGGTGGAGAGTCCAATAGGAGATGCCCATATACATCCAGGACCCCGATTCAGTGTGACAGTGAATGAGAAACAGCCTCAAACCCACAGATGGGAGCAGGAGAAATCTGCCCTCTCTCCATCGCAGTCTGAGTGGAGGGGGACGACCCCGCTAAGAATCTATGAAGACTTGACAGCCCTCATGCAAGCTTCAAGACCCACAAAGGGGACCACAGAGTGAGTCTATCTGCATGCCCAGTTACTGACCAAAGCAAATGCAAACCACCTGGGAAAATCCCACCTTCATCCAGACCTTAAAAATACTCACAGGTCAGGCTTCCCTGGTGGCGCAGCGATTGAGAGTCTGCCTGCCGATGCAGGGGACACGGGTTCGTGCCCCGGTCTGGGAAGGTCCCACATGCCGCGGAGCGGCTGGGCCCATGAGCCATGGCCGCTGAGCCTGCGCGTCCGGAGCCTGTGCTCCACAACGGGAGAGGCCACAACAGTGAGAGGCCCGCGTACCGCAAAAACAAACAAACAAACAAAAACCTCACAGGTCAAGTTCCAAGGAAAATGAGAAGCTCATCGTCAAAAATCAAAGCACACAAAGATCATAAAACCATGACTTAAAGCCAGTAGAAGCGACATATGCAGAAACTGAAATTATTAGTTGCAGAATATGAAATGACTATGTTTAGTGTGTTTAAAGAAGTAAGAGAAGCTTAAAATATGACCAAAGAGTAACCAAGAAGAGGTGGAAAAGAACCAATTAAAACCTCTAAACTGAAAAATTTTTAATGACTGTTTAAATCCACTTTACTGTAGTTGACATATAATAAACTGTACATATCCGAAGTGCACAATTTGACACGTTCTGACAAACATGCACACCATGAAACTATCACCACAATGAAGAAAATGGACAAACCCATCACCCTTAAAACCTCCTTGTGCTCCTTTGTAATTCCTCCCTCCCACCTCCCTCCAACCCCTTCCAAGGTCCCAGGTCCACAGGCAACTGCTGATCTACTTTCTCTTACTAGAAATTAGTTTACGTTTTCTCGAATTTTATATAAATGGAACTATACAGTGTGTACTCTTTTGTCTGGCTTCTTTCTTACAGCGTAATGATTTGAGATCCATCCATGGTGTAGCATGCAGCAGTGGTTCATTCTTTTCTTTTTTAAAAAATTTATTTATTTATTTATTTTTGGCTGTGTTGTTGGGTCTTTGTTGCTGTGCGCAGGCTTTCTCTAGTTGCAGTGAGTGAGGGCTACTCTTCTGTTACAGTGCGCGGGCTTCTCATTGCGGTAGCTTCTCTTGTTGCGGAGCACGGGCTCTAGGCACACGGGCTTCAGTAGTCGTGGCACGTGGGCTCAGTAGTTGTGGCTCACAGGTTCTAGAGCACAGGTTCAGTAGTTGTGGTGCATGGGCTCAGTTGTTGTGGCTTGCAGGCTCTAGAGCGCAGGCTCAGTAGTTGTGGCACACGGGCTTAGCTGCTCCACGGCATGTGGGATCTTCCCAGACCAGGGCTTGAACCCATGTCCGCTGCATTGGCAGGCAGATTCTTAACCACTGCGCCACCAGGGAAGCCCGGTTCATTCTTTTTTATTGCTCAGGAATATTTCATTGTATGGATATAACAGTTTTTTTGTCCATTCACCTGTTAACAGACATTAGGGTTTTTCTAGATTTTTGGCTACCACAAATCAAACTGCTATAACATTCATGTACAAGTTTATATGGACATCTGCTTTCCTTTCTCGTGTAAATACTTAGAACTGCTGTATCGTATAACAGATTTATGTTCAAGTTTTAAAGAAACTGTCCAACTGTGTTCCAGACCACACCACTTAGATTCTCAGCAGCCGTGTGTGTCTCGCAGGCTCTCCACACCTCTGCCAGCACTTGCTATCATCAGTCTTTTTAGTTTTAGACATTCTGATGGATGCGTGGTAGTATCTCACTGTGGTTTTAATTTGTATTTTCGTAAAAACTAATGATGTGGAGCATGTTTACACGTGCTTACTTGACATTCACATACCTTCTTTAGTGAAGCATCTATTCAAATATTCTGCCTGCTTCTTCTAAAACTGTTTTATTTTCTTAATGAGATTTGAGATTTCTTTTTATATTTTGAATATAGTTCCTTATTAGGTATAGTATTTGCAAGTATTTTCTCCCACACTGTGCCTTGTCTTTTCATAACAAGTAACACTAAAAGCATATTATATGTACTAACATCCAAATAAACATAGTGAAAGACAGAATTCATTAACTGAAAAATGTATCTTAAGACATTATCCAGAACACAGTACAAAGAGACAAAGAAAGTGAAAATATAAAAGAGTAATTAAGGATAAAATGAAAGATATAACATGTCTAATCAAAGTTCCAGAGAAGAAAAAAGAAAGAATGTGGAAGAAGATATACCTGTAGAGATAACAGTAGAGAACTTTCCAGCTATGTTGATAGATGCCAATCCTCAGAATCAGTAAGTTCAACAAATCCCAACAGGAGAAATTAACAGAAATGTACACTTAGTTCTTCTGCTCAAAACACAGAATTATTTAATCCTAATTTCATTAAATCTCAAAACCACTATATGATAGTAAAGGGATTTTTGACATCAAATAATATAAAACCACAAAAACAGGAATGGAGACAACAAGAATGTTTGGAAGCTGGAGAGAGAATGGATGAGAAGTAACTGACCTAGTAGATCTGAGACAAACCTCAAGAGAGAAGAGGTGAAACTGGATGAAGAAACCAGTTATATCACAGAACCTTCAAAGGGCTCAGGAATTGGCAAAACTATGTACCTCTGGAAAGGGGGATGAAATGTAAGGCACCTAAAATAAAGCAAACTGAGTGAAAGATATTTAAGAAGCACTCAAATCCCTAGATCTCCTCCCCAACTCTATGATCTAGGTGACTGCCTCTCTCTTACCCTGGCGGAAGTCTAGAAGTTTATTCTCTAGACAATTGAAACGTTATCTGGCCTGGGAGATGACAGTCCCAGCTGAGTCCTGGGTACCATATGGAAAACAAGGAGACTAAGTGACCATATTAATAATAAATGCTTCCAGAAACAAACAAACACATATACAGTCGATTGATTTGACAAAGGTGCCAAGACAATTCAATGGGGAAAGGATAGTCTTTGCACCAAATGGTGCTGGGGTAATTGGATATTTACATGCAAAAGAATAAACTTGGCCCCCCTACTTCATACCATACACAAAAATTAACTCAAAATGGACCACAGACCTAAATATAAGAGCTACAACTATAAAGCTCTTAGAAGAAAATATGGGGGGTGGGGGTAGGATCAACTGGCCTTGGCAACTTAGTGGATGTAGAGGAAGAGAGCACAAACGGACTCAGATTTAGCCTGACTGGCTGAGAAAACAGCAAAGAAGTATAGATACTTTCAGGACACCTAAGTAAAATGCTTGCTTTCCTTCTGGGAGTCTGGAGTTTTGGTGCTTGCTAGACAGAGGCTGCCCACATGAGCAGCTCCCAATAAAACCCCAGGGCTCGGGGCTCTGACGAGCTTCCCCGGCAGACATTTCACACGTGTCATGATTAGCGGTTGGAAGAATTAAGTGCATTCTGTGTGACTCCACTGGGAGCGGACTCTTGGGAGCCTGGTTTCCTCAGATGTCACCCCGTGCCCCTCTTCCCTCTGTTGCTCTTGCTCTGTGTCCTCTGACTGGAGGAGGTTGCAGCCGTGAGCACAACCATAATGCTGAGCCCTGTGAGTCCTCCAAGCAAATCACCGACACCGGGGGTGGTCTTGGGACCCCTGATACAGGCATACACAATGAGAATAAATCAATTTGCCTTTATACCATAAAGTTAAACAAGATCTTCAAAGTTCTGTTGGAAAAGTAAGTTCCAAATACTTACGACAGTGTGTGCATATAACCTGGAGGTTCCCAAACTGGCAGGGCAACAGTCATATGGGGAGTCTTCCAGGCCCACCTCACACTTACTGAATCAAAAGTTCCGCCAATGGGATCTGGGCCTTTCTTTTTTTTTTAAATACATAAATTTATTTATTTATCTACTTTTGGCTGTGTTGGATCTTTGCTGCCGTGCGCGGGCTTCTCTAGTTGTGGCGAGTGGGGGCTACTCTTCATTGCGGTGCACGGGTTCTAGGTGCACGGGCTTCATCAGTTGTGGCACGTGGGCTGAGTAGTTGTGGCGCATGGGCCTAGTTGCTCCATGGCATGTGGGATCTTCATGGACCAGGGCTCGAACCCGTGTCTCCTGCATAGGTAGGCGGACTCTTAACCACTGCACCACCAGGGAGGCCCGTGGGCCTTTATTTCTTAGACAACCTGACTTCATGACCTGCAATTTTAGGAGAGCAGAACTTTCGCAGCCTCCTGCCTCAGCAGCTGCTAATGGGCATGAATCACACCAAATCAGCAGCCTGTCTTTCTCTTCCAACCCACAGGCTGCTGGATCTGTTCCTGGTTGCTGTAGCCCACAGACAGAAGGTTCACTGTGCCACCATTCTATATCCAGGATATACACAAAAACATTTTTGGAGAAGGACATTTTTAACATCTTATTAACTTTAAAAATGCACGTAGGGCTTCCCTGGTGGCGCAAGTGGTTGAGAGTCCGCCTGCCGGTGCAGGGGACACGGGTTCGTGCCCTGGTCCAGGAGGATCCCACATGCCGCGGAGTGGCTGGGCCCGTGAGCCGTGGCCGCTGGGCCTGCACGTCCGGAGCCTGTGCTCCGCAACGGGAGAGGCCACAGCAGTGAGAGGCCCGCGTACCACCCAAAAAAAAAAAAAAAATGCATGTAAAAGTGCTTTGTAGACAATAAAGTACTTCACAAAGGTAATATATTATTAGGCTGAAAAGGCAGGTGTGTGTGCCATAAAACAGTAACATCTTAGATGTCATGCTTCTAGGCCAGAGTTATACCTCCTCGCTAGCTCTCTACCTTCCTCTAATTATAAGCTCATGTAAAGGCTACAAACACATTTTTTTTTTTTTTTTGGGGGTATACACACATACCCCGCCTCAATACACAAAGCCTACTCAATGTATTTACTTCACCTTCCCTAAAGCTCAGGTCAGGAAATCTTAGAACTCAAAAGGATCTTCAAAATTCTGTTGTACAGGTAAGTTCTGAATGCTTCCGACAGTGGGTACATGTAACCCGGAGGTTCCCAAACCTGGCAGGGCAACAGAGTCATATAGGGAGTTTTCCAGGCCCATTCCAAACTTACTGAATCAAAAGTTCTGCCAGTGGGGCCTGGGCCTTTATTTCTTATGACTTTCTGAAGCACATATGCCTGACGGAACCCCACAAAGGCTCTAGATTTGGAGTGGACAAGTATATCAGAAGGCAGGAATAAGAAGAGGATTTGTGGAATGATCTTTAGAAATTGAAGGGTAAGGAAGGAGAATCCTTAATCTTGACATTAGGAATAGTTCTCCTTAAGTGGCACAAGGATTAGTACATTGGAACTAAAAAGAAGAAAATATAATCTAGTATACCATTTGGCTCTGCAGTGGCTAATATCTGAAAAATCTAAAATAATAAACACCATTAAATAGTTTTCAACTTTATAACCAATGTATAAACAAAGTATAAAGTCTTAACTATACTTAGATAAAAGTACACAAATATTATCAACATTGACAACATAAAAGTACAGCTGAGGGCTTCCCTGGTGGCGCAGTGGTTAAGAATCCGTCTGCCAATGCAGGGGACATCGGTTCGATGCCTGGTCTGGAAAGATCCCACATGCCGTGGAGCAACTAAGCCCGTGCACCACAACTACTGAGCCTGCTCTCTAGAGCCCGCGAGCCACAACTACTGAGCCCACGTGCCACAACTACTGAAGCCTGCACGCCTAGAGCCCATGCTCCGCAACAAGAGAAGCCACCACAATGAGAAGCCCGCGCACTGCAACAAAGAGTAGCCCCCACTTGCTGCAACTAGAGAAAGCCCGCGCACAGCAACAAAGACCCAACACAGCCAAAAATAAATAAATTAAAAAAAAAAAAAAAGGGCCTCCCTGGTGGCGCAGTGGTTGGGAGTCTGCCTACCAATGCAGGGGACACGGGTCCGGGAGGATCCCACATGCCGCGGAGCGGCTGGGCCTGTGAGCCATGGCCGCTGGGCCTGCGCGTCCGGAGCCTGTGCTCCGCAACGGGAGAGGCCACAGCAGTGAGAGGCCCACGTACCGCAAAAAAAAAAAAAAAAAAAAAAAAAAAAAAAA